CCTTCTGTCTGTATGGTCGTTTAACAACGTTTAAAGCAGGGATAAAAGTGGAATTTCACATAGCATTGTTTATAATAAGTAGGGGAAATCGCACTTTTGGTCCCTCAATTAGTGCCCAATATGCAATGTCATCCTTAGTTTCAAGCACACAATTGGTCCCTCAATTATTTGACCATTAAGCAGATTTGGTCCTTCTGTGAGATCATCAGTTTAACTCTGTTTAAATCAGGGGTATAATTGAAATTTCACATGAGTAAGAATTGAAAGTAGTCTAGCTATCAACATAGATGTGATTTCCGGTGATGATGGTCTGGTTAATGCCGTCGCCGATCATCATCAAGTATTTCTTGTTCTTGGAAATGGAGACGTATTCCTCGTACACGCCGGCAATCACGTATACGAGGAATTAGCCGTCGTCGGACAGAGTGTTGTTGGGAGCAGCGGCGACGTCGTCATTAATGGTGGTAAAATTTCCACTCCCATCTTGACTCACAACCACAATGTCAATAACCAGAACCTGGTCATCTTCCTGAGCTTGTAGGAGCTTTCTCCGGCTAACTCGCTCGAAAATCGCCTTCGTCCGTTCCGACATCTTCAGAGGCAAACGCCCGTTCCGGAACCCAAGCTGTTTCTTGGTCGGACGCCAAGCTCCGGCGCCGGCGGCCTTCTTCTTCCTCGGCACCCACCCTTTAGTGAATAGAACCAGAGAAACATTAAACAGCCGCGTGTCGTTCGCCAGCTGCGCCACGATCCCATTCCTAACGCTCCAAGCCGACGACGTCGCTTGCAGGCTATCTATACACATTTACGTGTTGGTGAGAATGGCGCTGAGCAATGTTTGCACGTCGTCGGCTTCCAACACCAGGAGATACCGGGAAGTCCCGTTGACAGTCTAGAAAGAACTAGAGAGATAATCCATGTTTAAACCGGCGAGGAACTCGCAATCCTTGAGAGCTCGAACGGCGGTGGTGGTTAACGACTTGGAATTGCGGCGAAGGTACTTTTGGATCAATGGCAGAAACTTGCGCGCAACGGATAAGGATTTGCAGACGGAGAATGGCCATAGTCGTAGACATTGGAAGAAGAGTTGTTGCTGGGGAGAGCAATTTGGCAGTAAGATGGGTAAGGAGTGGACTTGTAAATGGTGGATGCCGAGACATTTCTCGATGGTGGCGGAGCATTTGCGGCGATGAAAATAACAACCAGGCAGAGAAAGGGAAAACAATTAGCTTATTATATTCAAGGCTATGTGAAATTTCAATTATACCCCTGATTTAAACGAAGTTAAACTGATGGTCTCACAGAAGAACCAAATCTTCTTAATGGTCAAATAATTGAGGGACCAATTGTATTCAAATTGGGAACTAAGGATGACATTGCAGATTAGGCACTAATTGAGGGACCAAAAGTGCTATTTCCCCTACTTATTATAAACAATGTTATGTGAAATTCCACATTTACCCATGCTTTAAACGGTGCTAAACGGCCATACAGACAAAAGGACCAAATTTGCTTAATGGTCGAATAATTGAGGGACCAAATGTGTTCAAATTGGGAACTAAGGATGACATTGCAGAATGAGCACTAATTGAGGGACCAAAAGTGCGATTACCCCTATATTCAATGTCTATATTTGATATATAGTTGGATAGTCTAAGTAGGTAGTGTAAAAAAAAAAAAAAAAGGTAAGTAGTCATGTAAATGCCATTTAATTTTTTTTTTTTGAAATAGTCATTTAAATATATTTAATATAATAAATATTGTATATATTTGTATAGTATGAGTTTGCATGTTCCATAGATCAGTGAAGAGGTTTGGAAGGGTACTGAGATCAGTTGTGATAGCCCGGAAGCGTAGATGATATAGCAGATAAAAGTCTTTGGGCAGTATTTCGAATTTGAAGGCCTCAACATCAAACACATTGAGAAGTGGATAGGCTCTTGTGATTTTTGCCAAGTGTTTTTTTGGGAATCTCTAGTTTGAAGGATGATGTCAAGAAAGAGCGAATATGGTCGCCAGATACCTTGTTCTCTGAAGTCTTGAAGATATAAAGCTCAAGATGGAGGAATGGATACACAAGCGACAACATCCATCATTAATAATTTTGTCTAGTTTTGCTCCATTTATCTCCTGAAAGAACTTCTTGTTCAAAGCATCTAATTTGCAGAACACATACATGGTGTCATGGAGCTGAGGCGGCATGTTTTGATCTTTCCATTAGCTATTTTCTTCAACGCCATCAACTGATTCTTATTCACAATATCCTTTAAATATGCTTCAGTTGTGCCCTACAACTTCGAGTCCTCCAATGGAGGAATAAACCCTTTTGTGATCTACAACCGAGTCAATTTCTAAGCACAGATCTCATGCCCAATTGGAAACACTACAAGGTATAAGAAACATTTTTATTTGTGGAAATCCATCTTATTGTAACTCAGTTTTACCAGCTTGTTATAGTTTTGGTTCTCTTATTTATTACTGGGAAGGGATCATTGTCCACCTTTATCCATTCTTTAGGTGTACTATCAACATTAAAGACACTAGCAATGACCACTACTGCTAATGGTAGCCTGCTGCATTTCTTTGCTATTCTTCTCCCATAGATTTCAAGGTTTGGAGGGCACAATTCCTTGCGGAAAACTTTCTTTTGTAGTAACTCCCAAATTTCATCATACGGCAAAAATTTTAATTCGTGTGGGTTGCATGTTGAATCAACATGTTTAGCCACTTCTAGTTCACGTGTTGTTACCAACACTCTACTACATTTCTGGTTGTTAGGAAAAGCAATTTTCAAAAGCTTGAAGTGAATCATTTCCCATACATCATCCATCACAATCAATCACAATCAAGTACTGCCCACCCTCCAAATATGTCTTGATTCTGTCTGCAAGTTATTCATCCGTCATATACTTGAAATCATCAATTTGCTTTGTGTAATTACTTAGAATGTTCAAGAATATTTGCTTCTGGTTCATGTTTGGAGATACGTAAACCCAAAGTCAAGTAAAGAATTTATATTGAAGTTCACTGTCACTAAACACCTTTTTAGTCAATATGGTTTTGTCCAAACCTGCCATCCCTACAATTGAGATGAAAGCCAAGTCGTTTGAATTTTCATTGAGATGGTCCTTTATTGTTTGGGCCTCGCCATCGAAGCATACCCCATCTTCCCCCTCCACCACAAGCTTTAACTATTTCAAGAAAATGAGGTCAACAACTTAGCTAAGGGCTAATTCTTACTACTTTTATGTGCATATTTGACATCAAATTCATATAATTTTATGTTAATTGAAAGCTAATTATGTGTTTATTTGATCTCTTTGTGTCATTTACGTGATTTGGAGGCATTGATTATGAGATAATGTAAATTGGATCTCGATTGGATGTGTTTTGAAGTCATGCACATTGGCATAAAGGTGTGTTCCAGGAGTCATCAGAGGTTAAGAAAATGAAAACGAACATTTGAAGTACCATGGAATGACTCGGGGATCCAAATGAACAAGGGAAATGAAGAAATATATATTTTGGACTGCAGGTCAAGGCTGTCGCTAAAGAAATGTCATTGTCTTCCAGAAATATTCCCAAAGTACGTAGTTTCACCTACTATAGGAAGCCCCTACTTTCGCTGAAGAAATGTCGATGTCGCTGAATAGGAAGCCCCCTACTTTCACCTATTCCCTCAGCCACCTATAACTTAATCAATTTTTTCACATTAATGTCATTGTCTTCTGGAAAAATTCCCAAGTACAGAATACAAGGTCGCAAGTGACTAGGCAAGTTGTTGTAGCTCAATGCAATCATCTTTGAAACTGAGTCGCAATCCATTCTTGTTAATGGTGAATCAATGTTTTGGGAAAAATCCTCCCAACTCTTTGGTGATATTTCGAGTTCGTGCAGAATTTCAGCAATCAAAACCATTGCTAGTGGTATTCTACCACATTTCTCAAAAAATTTTCCCCAATTGACTCAAATTCAGGGGATGGAAATCCTTCCCCCTTAAATAACCTTAAGTTTTTGACAAACAAATTCAAGCTTTCTGCAAAACTTAGAATACGTAGATGTCATGATCTTGCATGGTAAGGAGGCAGAATGGAAGGAGAGACTAAGGATAAAAGATCAGTAGAAGCCTCAGATTTATAAGCTAAGTGTGGAGGGAAAAGTCGAGGGACCAAAGTGTTGTCGTTTGGAGCCGGAAATAAGCAAACCATTCATTAATCGAAACGACAGCGTTTGAAGTCAGCCGTTGGAGCCGTTGAAATTAGGAGTCCAGACGACGTCGTTGCGGCTAGTCGTTAGAAGCGATTGCAGAACCTCATCAGACGACACCGTTTTGGGACCAGCCGTAGAAGACAAGCGAGAATGGTGGAAGTTGTTGCAGATTCTCTTGTTTTTTAGCATAGATTATTCTTATTTATTGCGGGAATATTGTTTTCTCTTTTTATGCTTGTTTTTACAGAATTGCTGAGCAATCAAAAACCCTAAATCCCTTCTTCTCTTGAACCCTAATCTATTTCTTCTTCCCCTTTACCCCTATTTCTGTTCAATTAGCTGGGCAAATTTGCAGGTGTGTGACAACTGGTTACTACAGCATCAGCAGCCATGGAGGAGAGAATATCCAAACTAGAAGCTATTGTCATGGAGAATAGTAGTAGTCTTACTGAGGCCAGGCAGGAAATGAGAGATAGTAACCAGGAGCTGAAGGATCATATGCAGGTTTGGAAAGATGAGATCATGAAACTCCTAAGGCTCAATAGGCCACCTCCAGCTCCTGAGCCTTCTTCAGTCCAGGGACAGGCTCAAACATCCCATGCCAGCCCAGGAGAGGAGGGATCTGATCTTGGCAGGAGGCCTGGGAAGGAGCCTGCAGTAGATGGTCTCACTAAGCCACATGAGGTGTCTGATGATGAGGAAGGACTTGGAGAGAATCAATATGGCCCTCATGTGTAGAGAGTCCATTTCAATGCCAGGCCTGGGCTAACAACCAAGCTGGGGAACAAACAATGAGGTATAAGCATGAATTTCCTGTTTTTGATTATGATAACCCAAGGCTGTGGGTGGTGAGGTGTGAGAGATTTTTTATGCTAGCTAGAATCCCCAGAGATGAGGTTATGCATGTATTGTGTGTTAATCTGACTGGAAAGGCAGCCCTCTGGTATGAAACTTACCTTAATGGCTTAAGGGAAGGCTTCCAGTGGACCCTATTTGCCAGGGCTATATGCAAAAGGTTATGTGATAGCCATGTGGATGTAATGGAGGAATTCTCCAACTTCAAGCAGTGGGGAAGTGTGGTGGAATTCTCTGACAAATTTGAAGAGTACAAAGGCTTGTTACTGCAGAGCTATCCCACCCTAAATGATCAGTATTTTCTAGATAGCTTTGTAGTGAGGCTAAAACAGCAACTCAGGTGCTTTGTAAGGACTTCTAGGCCTGGGAATTTAGAGGATGCAATCTGGCTTGCAAGGCAGTTTGAAAAGGGGCTGAGAGTGAGTGAACCTTCCAAAAACACCTCCCTTAACACCACAAGACCATCCTACAACACCCAAAGAACCCATTCAATAACCAGAGAACACAAACTAACCCCAAAACCTACCCACCTAAACAGAATGAGCCAAGCAGAATCCAACCCCACCAAATACCAACCAAAACCACATCTTCCAACACCCTGCAATCCAATGTCAGGACCCCTGAGATCAATAGGTTCAAGGACCAACTTAGAGAGCAAAACAGATGTTACAGGTGCTTTGATCCATGGAGCCCTGGGCATAAGTGCAAGAGCCCTACATTCAATATCATAGAGGGAGCTGAAAGTCAAGAAATAGAGGAGGGCAGTATGGGAAATCAGGAGGAAGAGAATGAAGTTGGGGAGATACCTGAGGACGAAGAAGTGGAAGTAACCCTTAATGCAGTCATTGGAGGGGAGGGTATAAACACCATTAAGTTATTAGGCTTAATAGGAAAACAGATTGTGGTGATTTTGGTGGATAGTGGGAGTACCCACAGCTTTGTGACCCCAAGGTATTGGACCAGAGAGGAATTACTGCTGAGAGAGCTGAAAACCTTAAGGTCACAGTGGCCAATGGTGAGACTATGGTGTGTGACTCAATTTGTAAAGGCCTAGAATGGCAGGTGCAGAAGGAGCAATTTAAGAAGGACTTGAGAGTTTTGAAGTTAGGAGGATGTGATATAGTCCTTGGCATGGATTGGATAGACATTTATGCTCCCATTCAACTGCACACAAGACCTCCTGGAATCTCATTTCATAAGGAAGGTAAGAGGGTATTGTTGAAGGGCCTGACCAAGAAGATTGTGTTGCAGCAGGCCTCTAAAAAAGAGATTAGGAAATGGAAGAAGGAAGGGGTGCAAGGGTACCTCCTGCAGGGTATGATTCATGTCATTAACCCCTCTGAGAGTACAGAACCACACCACACTGAGCTGACTGCCATTTTGCAAGAGTATCAGGAGATCTTTGAAGAACCTAAAAGCCTACCCCCTTCAAGATCATTGGATCATGAGATTCCCTTAATCCCAGGGGCTAAACCTGTGCACTCTAAACCCTATAGATACTCATACCTACAGAAAAATGCAATAGAAAAGATGGTGGATGAAATGCTGACTGCTGGAATTATATCACACAGTTCCTCCCCCTTTGCCTCACCAGTACTATTGGTTCCAAAAAAAAAAGATAATACATGGAGGTTTTGTGTGGATTATAGAGCCCTTAATGGGATAACCACTAAGAATAAGTTTCCCATTCCATTGATAGAGGACTTATTCTCAGAACTGGCTACTGCAAGAGTCTTCACTAAATTGGATTTGAGGGCTGGTTATCACCAAGTGAGAATGAACAAAGGAGATGAGTACAAAACTGCCTTTAGAGCACATCAAGGCCTATATGAATTTAATGTGATGCCCTTTGGCTTAACTAATGCACCAGCTACTTTTCAGGCTCTCATGAACCTGGTCTTCAAGCCCTTGATCAGGAAGACAGTGCTGGTGTTCTTTGATGATATTTTGATCTATAGCCCATCCTTGGAGAGCCACTGGAAACATCTAAAAGAAGTGCTGGAAATAATGAAGGAGAACCAACTACTGGTCAAGCTTAGCAAGTGTTCCTTTGCTAAAAAAGAGGTGGAATATTTAGGGCATATCATTTCGGAGGAAGGACTGCAAACTGATCCAGGAAAACTATCTGATGTGTCTGCTTGGCCTAAACCTGCTACCATCAAGGAGTTGAGAGGCTTCTTAGAGCTCACTGGGTATATAGGAGATTCATAAAATCCTATGGCACCATAAGTAGGCCCCTGACTGATATGTTAAGGAAAAATGCATTCCACTGGAGTGATGAATCAGAAAAGGCTTTTAAACAGCTCAAAGTGGCTTTATGCTCAGCTCCAGTCCTTGCTCTACCTAACTTCAATAAAGCTTTTGTAGTTGAGGCTGATGCCTGTTATAAGGGCATGGGGGCAATCCTCATGCAAGAGGGAAAACCAATAGCCTACTATAGCAAGGGGTTTGGTCCTAAGCATCTGGGGCTATCTATTTATGAGAAAGAATATCTATCCATTATTAATGCTATAGACAAATGGAGACCTTACTTGTGTGGAAGACATTTTGTTATTAAAACTGACCATCAAAGCCTCAAATTTTTGTTAGAACAGAAAATCACCACAGCTATGCAACAGAAGGGGCTTACCAAATTATTGGGATTAAGCTATGAGATTCAATACAAGAGGGGAACAGAGAATTGTGTTGTAGATGCTTTGTCCAGAAGAGGGAATGAGAAACAGGCTGACCTAAAGGCTATTTCAGTTGCTAGGCCACTATGGAAGGAGGAGATTCTGAAAAGTTATGAGGAAGATGAATTGGCCACTAAAATCTTGGCTGAATAGGTGATTGTGGCAGATCCAGAATCCTAGTTCACTATCAGTGAGGGACTGATCAAACACCAAGGCAGATTATATGTTGGAGGCACAGGAGATTTGAGAAGAAGGATAGTGGAACAGATGCACAATTCTCCCATGGGGGGTCATTCTGGACAACAAGTCACCTATCATAGGCTCAGGCAGTTATTTTACTGGAAGGGAATGAAGAAGGAAGTAATCCAAACAGTTAAGAGCTGTGATGTTTGTTAGAGGTGTAAGGAAGAAAATACAGCATATCCTGGGCTACTGCAACCCTTTCCTATCTCAGAACAAGCTTGGCAAGGCATATCTGTGGACTTTGTTGAAGGATTGCCTAAGTCACAAGGGAAAGATGTCATCATGGTTATAGTGGATAGATTCACCAAGTATGGTCATTTCCTGGCCCTCTCACACCCATTCACAGCTGAAATGGTGGCTGACCTATTCATGGAGAACATCTACAAGCTCCATGGTCTACCTCAGGATATAGTCAGTGACAGAGACAAGATATTTGTGAGTAAATTTTGGAAGGAGATATTCAAGCTTATGCAGGTTAAGTTGAGCATGACTTCTTCCTATCACCCTCAGTCAGATGGTCAAACTGAGAGAGTGAACAGGTGTGTGGAAACATATCTAAGGTGCATGGTCTTCCATAGGCCCAAGACTTGGCTTAAATGGCTACACCTAGCAGAATATTGGTATAACACCAATTTCCACACATCCCTTAAATGTTCTCCCTTCCAAGCCCTATATGGATATACTCCACCTTATCTAACCTTTAAAGTGATCTCAGAAGGTGAAGGCCAGGACTGGTTCAGAGAAAGAGCTGTGATGGTTGCCATTCTCAGGGAAAATCTCTCAAAAGCCCAAGCCAGGATGAAAGAACAAGCAGACAAGCATAGAATTGAAAGAAGTTTTGAGGTGGGAGATTGGGCATATCTCAAAATACAGCCTTATAAGCAGTCTTCTGTGGCTGTGAGGTCTAACATCAAGCTAACAGCTAGGTTCTATGGACCCTTTGAAGTAATTGAAAAGATTGGACCAGTAGCATACAAGTTGAAACTTCCAGGAGAGGCTGCAATCCACCCTGTATTCCATGTGTCCTTGCTGAAGAAAAGGGTGGGAGATGGGATTGAGGCACAGCCAGAGTTACCTTCTACTAACTTAGAGGGCATGATTCTCACCCAACCAATAGCAGCCTTGCAGAAAAGGTTGGTTAAGAAGAACAATGCAGCTGAGGTAGAAATCCTTGTGCAGTGGGCAAACTTACCTCAAGAGGCTGCCACATGGGAAAACTATCACCATATCACCAACCAGTTTCCCAATTTTGATCCTTGGGGTCAAGGATCTGGTGGAGGAGAGGGTAATGTCATGATTTTGCATGGTAAGGAGGCAAAATGGAAGGAGAGACTAAGGATAAAAGATCAGGAGAAGCCTCAGATTTATAAACTAAGTGTGGAGGGAAAAGTCGAGGGACCAAAGTTTTGTCGTTTGGAGCCGGAAATAAGCAAACCATTCATTAATCGAAACGACAGCGTTTGTAGTCAGCCGTTGGAGCCGTTGAAATTAGGAGTCCAGACAACGTCATTGCGGCTAGTCATTAGAAGCGGTTGCAGAACCTCATCAGACGACACCGTTTTGGGACCAGCCGTAGAAGACAAGCGAGAATGGTGGAAGTTGTTGCAGATTCTCTTGTTTTTTAGCATAGATTATTCTTATTTATTGCGGGAATATTGTTTTCTCTTTTTATGCTTGTTTTTACAGAATTGCTGAGCAATCAAAAACCTTAAATCCCTTCTTCTCTTGAACCCTAATCTATTTCTTCTTCCCCTTTACCCCTATTTCTGTTCTATTAGCTGGGCAAATTTGCAGGTGTGTGACAGTAGATTAAAAAATATATTTATACAACCTGCTAGCATGCCGGGCCACATCCAATATTGGAGTAGTTATTAGGATTCTGTTTCCCTTTGAATCATCTGGAAGATACTTTTGAAGGCAATCCCAAACCTCTGTGGTCCGAATTTCATTGATGAGGATGAAATGCCTTTATTGCCTAGTCGATCTTCTAGGCACATTGAGTGTCTGCTTCGGAGATTTCGCTGGTCAATGAAACAATACAACCTATAATGCCAATTAGTACTTTTCTTATGCTGAATTCTTGAGACACGGTGATCCATGCCCGAATGCCAAATTTATTGGCAACTACTAGATCGTCATAAACTTTTTGAGCTAAATTGGATTTCCCTACGCCAACGATTCCAACAATTGAGATTACTTCTCGTCCCACGGCTTGGATCTTAAACATTGGAATACAAGTGCAAATTGTTTTCCAGTTTTGGAGTGCTTAGTCCTAAGATATTGCTGGTACTTGAAAAAACTTCCAATTAATATTTCATATATTCACACACTTCAATTGATTTAGTTAATCAACTGTTATCCTCGTCTTGTGGAGTCTGCACAGAGGATTAAAAGGAAGCAAATGGTTAATGGAATTTTGGATGGTGTAATTGTTGAATATTTTTCAAGTGAGGTATATCTCTAATTCTAATTTCTTTTATTTTAAAATTCCTCATTTCCCTCTTATTTTCTTTTCTTGGTTTTGTTTTTGAACTCTTTTCCAATGACAAATTCGCAAAGGATGTAAACTTTGAAGAAGAGATTGATGGAGAGAAGGGTGAAAAGTCTAAAGAAAAGACCGTAGAGATTCCTAAAGGAAATGGTAAAGAGATGGGTGAAAATTATGAAGAAATCTTTCCTTTCAAGGTATGGAACATCAATGCCTATCAACTTGGGATTTCCTCAACTCTATTCTACTTTTATTTAAATTTAAAATCCTCTGCAACATTTAATATTCATAGTTTTTTAGCATTCAATGATTAGTACTCTCCTCTTTAGAAAATATTGTCCCTTAACATGACACACCGATTTTTAAAATTGTACATTTAATGTATTGATTATGTGATGATATATTATTTTTTGCATAATAAATACACTGTAAATTTAAAAGTAAAAGACGGAAATACGGTTAAAATTATATGCATTAATTTCTTTGCCAAGAAAGATCACCTCGGGATTAAAGACTGCCTAGACCTTATCAAACCGTTCACTACATCTCGGGTCTCCCACGTGAATAGGGAAGGGAACAGATGTGCAGATTGGCTTGCTAACTTGAGCCAAAACATCGATTAGGGTATGATTGATCACGCCCCTCCTGATCTTGTTAGACTCCTCAACACGGAAGCTCAAAGCTTGCCCAGTCTCCGTGTTAGATAGTTTCTTGTTGTTTCGTTTGCTTCAATTTTATCCCAAAAAAAAAAAATTATCTTTTCACTTTGTCTATCTAAACAGAAATTATACAACTAGCTAAACGTAGTTTCCTTTGATTTCTTGTGATATAGCATTGGCAGCACAATTTGTAGACCACTTAGAGAAAATGAAACATATAATGTCATCAACAATATACCAAAGATAGAATTAAACCACTCAGCATAGATGTATACCAGAGACATAATTAAACCACTCAGCATAGATTATCATTACTTTATTATAGTTTAATGAAAGTATTTCTAAAGATATATATACCAAAATTTGAAAATTTACAACATTTTTAAACAAAATATAAAAAGGAAAATTGTCAAATATTGCTAAAATTTATACCAAAAATAAATTAGGACTTTGAAATTTAAAATGTAACAATTAAACACTTAAACTCAATTGTCAAATAGCCCTCAACAGAATTACTATTCTATTCATATTTAGTCATATTTCCTTTTTTTTTTTCTTATAATACTTTGTTGAAGGTGCTTCCACATCTATCTTTTGATGTGTTAATGAAGTATATTCTAAGAATGGTAGGTCCTGGGAATCCACATCTATATCATTTTGTGTAAATCCATTATTAACCAAATCAAATTGCAGTTGATTAATTCTATACTAATTATATTCTTCAACACCATAGGTTTTTGCATCAGTTTCTCATCACTCATTCGATAGAGTTTTTACATATGACAGTAGTACTCTCAAATACAAATGCTAAATCTTCATAGTCAACAATAGTACCTATAAAAACATCATAGCAAAAATTTATGAAAGTTACAGAACATACAGTAAAATTTGATAAGAATAGATGAAAAGTTTGTCTGATTCAGATAGCTGCGAAAAAAAGTCTATAGAGAAAGTTTGAAAATTTTGGGGTTGGAGGATTGAATTTTAACCATTTATATTTATGAGGAAAAAGTTTACAAAAATTCTAATATGATAGAGTTTTTAAAAAAAATTAATAAATTTTGAATACTAGACTAGGAGCCTGTTTTAATATAATCCATATAAAGAACATTTTAAAAGACAGGCATGATTAGGAAACTGAGTATCAAT